AAAAAAAAAAAAAAAAAAAAATCCTCAAATAGCCTCTAAACATTTCCATAAAGTTACAACAGTATGTAAACATGGAGATCGAGTTGACAAGGATGTTATAAATCCCTCTGTTGTGCTTTCAGTTAGCACGCTATGCTGACAAGGTAACAAATGTAAGAATAAAATCCTCGGAAGCTCATAAAATGGTATGTTTTAAAAGAACACAAATTACTTTAAAGAAAATCATAGATACAGCATAAACAAACATAAGAACCAAGACCAGATGAAGCTTGCACTTAGTGAGAAATACCTGTCTGGTATCTAGTTACATGAACCCATGGACCTACTGGATATCAACTTACTTCCAAATTCCACGGGAGTAATTTTATCTAAGACACGAGGAAACCTATGGACTTCTAAACGACCTGATCATTCAATATGTTACAACATTTCTTTTGCCAAAACTGATGAAAAGAGAATCATATCAATATACAAGCTGACCTACCATACAGCAGTTTCTGTGGCCCATAAGGGAACTGACCTTTTAGAAGTTACTCTAATGGCTTGTTTCAGCTTCACTTGCCAAGATATTCCATCAAAGAAATAATAGGCTGAAGAAACAGAAAAGAGGAGAAGATTTGGAATACATTAGGATTTTGTCTGATGGCTGTCAATCATGAAAGCAAACTAGGTCCATTTTCAGCAGCAGTCCGAGCATGGCCATGATTTTGATGCCTTGACAGCTGTATATCATGCGATAAATTGGTCCTTGCTTTTGCATAGGGAGCAGCTCTTGCTGTACAACAAAAGTACAGACCATAAATTAAGACACCAATTGCCACTGCGCCTGTGCTCCCTTTAATTTTAAAACAGTACAAAATAATTTTCAAATCCCTTAGGACCCATACCCCACATGGAGAAAAAGCAACTGAATCAATTTTAACAACATAAGTGCCTTGAGTTTACATTATTGGAGACAACTAACCCCAATGAGTTTATTTTAAAACTCATTAGGCCAGATCAAGCAGTTATATTTAGCGTACCAACCTGTAATCTGCTGTGTGCGAAGAATATTCTGCCGCCTTTTCCACCAACACATTGAACAGATGACAAGAAGTAGGAGAGACAGAGCCACACCAAATCCTATGCCAACCTTTGCACCAGCAGATAGATGGGATCCACAAGGAGGTAGTCCAGGTATACCGCATAAACCAGCATTATCAGTAAAACTGCACATAACCACAGGAGGAATCTTCATTAGACTTACTAGAACAAAATTAAAAGTGCATTCTCATTTTTTCCTCTTATATGAGTGCATATAAGTCTATTTGTTCTTTTATTTTTTCAGCAAGAACTAGTGGCAAATCCATTTGTCAGTCTGTAATATTTTCAGAACGCTGCCAACAAGAACATACTTAAAGCTAGCTCCATGCAAAAGCCTTCCACCTACAGCAGCTGGGACTCTTCCTGACAGGGAGTTGCTGTTAAGGTACCTGCACCATTGAGAAACTCAAATCAAAGACCACTCCAGATATTTAGATTCCATTGGTCAATCAGAAAATTGAATGCTTACAGTCTGCGTAATGCTGTCAACTGTCCTAGGCTTTCAGGAATTGATCCAGTCAAGGAATTGTAAGAGAGATCCCTGTCATTTGTTTTGTATTCAGAGGGATTGTATCAGAGAGATGAAGTCAAGAAAAGCATCAAAGGCCATGTGCTTTCATAATTCAAACATTAGGGTTAGGCACTTGTATTTAAGCTCTCATTATGGTTACTAGTTTGCAGATAGTGATTACAAGATATGGTTTCATCCTTGTAGAGAAAATGTGTATTCAAATTCCTCCAGCATCTCTATTTTTGAAACCGAGATGACTATACATCTTCAATTCATGTATGCAGAATTAGGAGCAATGTGAGTCTAATCCTTATAATCATTCCTTAATGCAAATATCTTGCATCACTTAAAAGTTGCATATTTCCTCTAAACCATGGAGAATACTGATACTCGATAGAATAAAGCAAATTAACCAAATAAACTGGTCCACCCCCATTACCAAACTGCAACCATGACAGTAACTCTGATGTTCATGAAAAGAATAACAACATGGTTTATAGTTGTTAACTCTACTTGCGGATCTATCATATACAATGAGTAAACCAAAGAATCAATAAATAACATGACTTGTTGCAGAAACAACTAAGATAGTGAAAATTATCAGTTCAAACTAAGAGGTGTTGGCCCAAAAACCAAGGGGTAAATGCAGTGAGTCCTATTAGATCATTTGTTTTCCACACAATTCAGTCATGTTAAGGGTGCATTTATGTTAAGGCTTTTCTACGCCCATTCAGAGTTCCTATTTACATTTTTCAATGTATTTGTATGTTTTCGAAGTAGTGAACTGGAAATAGAAGTTTATATCACCTCTTTGTTGCATAAGTGCCCTTCCCAAGAGAACAAAATGAATGTTTACTTTCCCCCAATAGATAGTAGATGTGGAAAATGTTAAATTGTATAGGTAAGATTGACAGAAAATAAATAAAAAGAGACAACATGCCAGACAATACTTACAGCACTTGTAAGCTAGTAATTGTTCCAAGTGATGACGGAATGGTCCCATGAATGCTGTTCCCACTTAAATTGCTGTAGCAACCAGGTAAAACGAATGATTAGTGATGATAATAGGAGACAAATATTCACTACAACTGTGACTATCTATTGTACTATTGTAAATTCAACAAGAAGCAAAAGGATGGCAACACTATATGAGAGCAAGTAATGAAAGATTTCAGGTATAAATGCTATCATTTCATCAAGGTCTGGAACAACGAGACTTGCAAAGAAGAAACATGTCAGTAGCACATTTAATGCAACCCAAAAAAGATGAAACCGTTATCAAAGTGAACTTACATGCTCTCCAGGTGACGCAGTTTGGAGATGTCCTTTGGCAAGAAACCCCTAAGACCTTGATTGTCAAGACCACTGATCATGCAGAAATTAAAAGCAATTACTTAAAATTAACAAAACATTCTTAAGTGAATTAAGTATGATACACAGTGTATAATTTGGGGAAACCATATGTGCAATTTCAGGAGTGACTAATCCCATTCCAATTGGAAGTTCACATTTTAAAAAATGAGAAGATAAGCATTAAAAGAAGAAGACATGCATATCTTGTTAATAAAAGAGTAAAACAAAACTTAGTTTCAGTGGAGAACAAGCGTGCAAATGCAAGACATGATAGTGTTTCAGTATACTTTAACAGATAGGGCTGCTATTGCATCAGGTAACATAACTCCCCCTAGTTCTACTAAATCTAAAACCCTTGGCTTTAGTCTCCATCTTTATACAAACATGAAGATGAAACAAACTAAAAACTAGGATGAGGTTTTTTGACACTATGCACTTCCTTTCTATCCATTGGACCTTGAAGCCAATTATAATGAGTTGCAATTAAAACAAAGATTCCTTATTAATGTTTCAATGAAAGATTGATGCTTACATGTAACTGTCAAAATTGTTTTAAAAATTTATCCTTTTATCATATCTTACTACAAATAAAAAGAACTAAAATGTTTCATGTATTTTTAATATTATAAACTTTTTAAATAACTAAAAGATGAAATAAATGATGAATCTGGCAGAGAAAGAAACGTTCTCACAATTGAAATCAATAAAATAAATCAAATATGAAGCAAAAGGTTGAGAGAATACAGGCCATCAATGAACCACTTGTTGGTTGTTGTGTCTAGATGACAATCTACTCCACTCCATGGGTGTTCTTTGGGTACACATGGATCGCCATTCCAACCTAAACGATGAGGAAGCCCCAAGGCATTCTTCAGTGCCTGTAGAGCCTTAACTGGAATAAGAAAGCATTGACGTATTAGTGATATTTTACACGCTTACTAACCCAAATTTTTATCCAGAAAATGAAAGCAGTTGGAAGCACATATATTTAGAAGGTGCAACTAAGCCAGAATAAAGTAACTTTAAACAATATGCATACTCAGAGGCACCAAAAAGCAAAAAGGCAAGCACAAGGAAACACAGTAATTAAACATAATCCCAATAAAGTCCACCTTTTCCCTACCATTTTCAGCATACTTGTGCCATGTTTCCCTTCCCTTAAAGAAACTAAATTTCTCAAGCCATTGACTTTTAACCATATGCACTGAAAATTAGCAATCAATAAAATACTCTAGCAATTTAATTTCTATTTTAGGAAAGAGATCTGGTTATGGGGGAGAAGAAAAAGGATTTATGAAAACACTTGAATTGCTAAGGATGAAAGCTGAGAAAAAAAAAACATAAATAAATGCAACACTTGTTTGTGTCACAAACAAACATAAATAAATGCATTTAGTAAATTGCACTCTAGTGAGATAGTTTGATAAGAGTAGAGATAACTAAACAGATAAAATAACAGTCATTACCTTCTACAAGTACAGTTTTGAACTCCGATGTTATAACCTCAAAGACCTCAATAGCATTGATTATTGCATGACCCTTGTTAGGTCGCAGGATTATGGTCAAAGTCCTCCCCTTAACAGCAACAGTTGTGTTAAGTACAAGTGCAGTATAACGGTCCCCACTCATCTTAACAACATCTACATCTGGAAAAGCACTATCACCATTTATTAAGATATCAAATACCCTTTGCCCAATGCCAGTGACTGTGGCATCAATCTCAGCAAAATGTAACCATATCGAGTAGTTTCTGTTGGGATCCACATCCATTGCATAAGTTAAGTCTGGGTTACTGTTGGTGCTAACAACAGCTGATTGATAAAGAGCTTCTGGATAGAAGTTTGGTGCATCTGAAGCTTGCTTGATGCCATTTTCTGTTGATCTAGGTTGATCAGCATTATGACCAAACGTTCTGATAGGGCTCCAATATCTATCCCCACCCCAGTGGTCCCCGCTATAATCTTCATCAAACCTTGGCTTCCTAGTACCAAGAGTAAGTCTTGCAGCTGTTCTAAGGATCAAATCTTCACCCCACCCTTGACCAAAATAGTATGCCTTATTATCAACTTGAAGAATTTCAATAGAAAGTATTGCAGGATCTCCATGACCTGTGCTGTGGAAGCATATAGAAACAGTGCCATCTGAAAGAAACACAAGTGCTTCACTAAATACTTGGTCTTCATGATTAGTCCAACCAGATTTCATTGAAGAAATCAAGGTGCCTTCGATAGATATGTCAAACAGAGGCTCCTTCTCAAAATCAGAATGTGGAACTAATCCAAAGAAGATCCTCACAGAATAGTGCCCCCTAGGCACTCTTCTAATATTATAGCAATTTTCTGGACCTTCAGAAAGAGGGAAATAACGAAGTGTTTGAAGTGGGGGAGTGATGAGGTTTGGGCGTGTTGCATTAGACGGAATTCCCCCTGTATAGGCAAAATCCTTAAACCAAAGTGTATAGGTTGGTGGAGTGCGTCGATTCTCACGAGCCCCACAGCTTATGCGCATTGCATATGGTGCTGTAATTAAAAAAAAAATTATAAATTCAACATAGAAAAGTACTAAAATGGAAAGAAATATTAGCTAGAGCATGACAAGTCTCTGTATTATTGAATCTACTACCACATGATACAAACCATTACATGTTCCTAGCTAATGCAAAATGTGCAATTCGCATTAACTACACCTTTTCATTTGAATTCTCTACTTTATTGTAATTTGCTTTACAAATAAATCACAGTTTCTTATCAATAAAAAAAAATTTATATTAATAATAAATAAATCACAGTTTCTCTTTCTTCACTATTTTTTCCCCAATGGTCACATATGGAAAAGGGAAAACGGAAGACAATATCCAGACTCCATCAGTTTCCATAATGTTGCTTAAAATAAATAAGAGAAACACAGATTAACAATGCCAAATTCCAGTCCAATTCAAATCTCATGAACAATTAATAGAAAAAGACATCAAGAATTTTGCTTCATCTCCGGTTTCCTAGCTTTTTTAAGCAGCCAAGGGATCCAAATCCATCTATACCTCATTGATTCGAATTCAACTATTCACTAGAAGTTTTCATATTCAAACCACATTGCTAACTCCAATCAAGAAATCCCTCGCATAAATCTCATAACCATGACATTAATGTGAAACAAAATTAACCATACAAAAGCTAAAAATCGAACCAAAGTAAGCGTCAGAGACGAGAGTCAGTCAATCACAACAACCAAGCAGAAGAAACTCGATTTCAAAAATCAACACTCGTTCATCACAATTTCATTCAAAATGCAAGTAATCCATGCTTCAAAATTTGCCATCCAAATCTCCGAGCAGCCAAAAACCAATTCGGAACAACAAAATTGAAGAACAAGGAGTGTAGCGAAAGCTAACCAGGTCGAGCCGAAGAAGAAGATGGAGACAAACAGAAGACGAGAAGCCATAACATAGTGAACTTAAGCAGCATCATCTTCTTCAGCTTCGATAATGCTTAGCTTCTCTCCCGTCTTTGTGCCCGCAGAACCCTTTGCACATTCTCTCTTTATCCTTCCCTTCGCCTTTGGGAGAGAGAAAAGTGATGTGAGTATGTGCTTTAACTGTGACTTATAGCGAATGTGTCCAATCATTCATAAATATGGTTAAGATTTGAAATTAATATTATGATTTTATATCACGTAATTAAAAATATTAAAAAATAAATTTTATATTATTTAATAAATAATTTTTTATATTTTTAAATTAAAAATATTATAAATATCAATTAATTTAATGACATATATTATATTACTTCAAATTTTTATCTTTTTTATCATTATTCTATGCATAAAGTTTATTAATTTAAATGAGCCATTGATTTTAATTTTCCGCTTAGAATGGACTCATGATGGAATTTCTAGTAAATAAATGTTTTTTTTATTATAATA